AATTAGAGTTAAAACACTAATAATTTAAACACACTAATTTACTTAATTCCACTCCGAAGCTTCGCTTGTTTCGCCCAAATCAACACTGCTACGATCGCATCTTGCAGCGCCTATATATTTGAATTAGCAAAGAAATATCCAGAATGTTCAAGTAAACACGCGGAAGGCACCGAGCGTTCGAGTTTCGACTAGGCGCTGTCAGTTGAGCGATTTGTGATGTCATTTTCTCAATGCTCCCCTCGCTCTCGTTCCTGACACTAGATGGCGCTAGTGTATCGTTGACTGGAGCGCGTAACATTATCATAAAAGTCAGCATAATAATGAGGTATCAGATTATATTCAATGAAGGAACGTAGATCAGTTTATTTCCTCTCATATAACACCAGTCTTGGGAGTATGCTTTGGCAATTTCTCTTATATCACTCATCTTCTTCCTTTTATTTCTCGTGTTTACCTTGTTGAACTCATTTTGACTATATGATATGTCTTATAGAAAAATGTAAACGTACCCTTTTTAGTAAATTTTATGAATTTTACGTCATTCCAAGTCACATTGCCTTTATTTTCATTTTCACTAAAAGAGGTTAATTCTTGAACAATCAACGGTTTCCCGTTTTTCTCGATTTTTTTTTAATAAAATTGACGTATTGACAAGGTGCGTACATGGGTATAGCCTTTTTTCCGCTGGATTTCCTTTTCAATGAGGCTGTGGACGTTGTCCCCTTCATTTTGGATATGACCCTTTATTAGGCACTTTTGGTTTATAGATTGGATGTTTTGAAAATATGATACTGCGTAAGAATATAAGCAAGCTACATAATTATTTTTGTTTTGTCCGTAGCAATTGTCAGAATAAAACGTAACGTGGTTTGCCAGACCCTAAGGTTTTGCATTTAATATATCCAATTAATTAAGAACACACGATCCAATCTCGCTAGGTCCGCGTTACCCCTGAGTTTCGTCCTAGAAAAAGACTGTAGACATTTCCATAAGCCCCAATTTCACTTTGTGTTCACTTTCTGTGTTTTCCTTCAGATTTTTGTCTCTTTTCTTTAGTGATTCCACGATTGCAAAGTTGAGGCAATTCAGTTTTGTTCTATTATAGAATGATGATGAATCACCACAAAGACATTGCATAAGGAGTAAGAAAAAAATATTTCGAAGACATGTTAAGTTCGCCAACACGCATTGGGGCGGGGTGGCGGACACTTCTTGCCCTAAAACTTTCTCAGAAATGAGGGGGAGGCCTGTGCCCAGCAATGGGACGTATATAGGCTGTAACTTTACTTTTAGTTTACTTTCTATATTGTTGCAAAAAATATTTTAATTATAATACCTACAAAACAAAAAAAAAAAAAGGTTTCTATTGTATTGATTTCCGTACTTTACTAAATTTATACGAATTTAAAGTTAATGAAAGCTACATTATTTGATACAATTTTTTTTTCAAAATGTTGCATATGATATTTCGTTTATATCTGAAAGTCTTATATCTGTAAAAGTATCGGTTATTGTATAATAAAAATTACGACGCTGTTTTTAAATTAGTTAACCGTAGATTTATGTACTTTTTGACTTTAAACATTTCCGGATAGGTGTCATTATTGAATTTTAATAAATATCCTCAAAATCTTTACCACGGTAATCGGCTTAAATTAGTTGTTTCATATAAGAACGTAGCCAACAATATTGCGACTAATTATGACGTTTGTATACGTCTGAGGGAATTTGAAAGCAAGGAAATATGTCTTCGAAATACTTATTTTAATTTTTCGGATCCTTCTAGCGCCTGACAAATCAACACTAAAAATTTAATTAACAATTCGTTGGTACTGGCAGGGATCTAACCCGAGTTGCCCACGTACTGTGACATTTATAGTGAGCGCTTAGCTCCCTAACCACCGCGGCTCATGTATATGAGACGGTATTTTATCCCATGAATTCTCTTAAAACGGAATAGAATCAATGTCAAGAGAATTATTTAGTCTTCTTCTCCTTTATCAGCACCGCCGTAAAAGTCTATTACTTGACATGTAGCAGTAATTTCTCATAAATGTAATTGTTGGCAGGCAGACTTACAATTGCAATACAATTCTGTTCGTAGTCGGTCTAAACATTATGTGTCTGACTCTGACGTAATCGATATGGTACCGCCTTAAATCGAAAGCTGTTAGAATTTTTTGGAGTTTTCCATCGTCACCTTTTACTACACCCCCAAGCCGAAACGGGGTATTTGATTCATTTATACCGCCACTACACGGCAAAGTAGTTATTGTTTCCTCCTTATTAATTAAGTTTGCAATGCAAGAAAACCTGTTTTCTAATAAGATCCTTTAAATAAATAAGATCCTTAGTTTCTTTGATATACTTTCTTAGTGCACTCGCGTGTCTCTCAAGGAACATTGGCATGTCCTCTGTGTTTAAGTCATTCATGCATTTTGGCGGTTGTTGATGAAATAAATCCTTATAGGTATAAAAATATCCATATATAACTGTAATAAATACTAAATCATACATATGCTAATACTGTTAAGTTAAAACAACAGCGTAGTAAAGTATAATCAAATAGGCCTGGTTGTGCCAACGCACATCCTTGCATTTCGTATTTGTTGATGTATTGTTAGTTGGGTCGGTTGGTACTGTCGATCTGGTCCGACACAACGGCAACACTACGCCGCCGTCGTCGTAGCAATTTCATTGTGCCCGCATTGCTGTCAAGAGAAGGGCCACTCGCTGCTTCCCCCAGGTAAGTGCCCATCCCTATTATGAGCTGTTTTATTGTTGTTCCTTTATTCGCAGTAGCTCATCTCCCGTCGTGTCAGCCAACGCCTCAAATTATTTCAAAGCAAGTATATTGTCCAAGTCCGCCACATGCCACGTCCGCTATTTTGTTTTGGTTCCTTTTGAAGCCCGCTAATACAGTCCAAGTGATCGTTCGCCCTGTCATACCATTGGTCGCTTTTCGCGCACCCAAGGCCAAAATAATAAAAATTCTAAATAAATTAATTCCATGCGAACGAAGTTGCTAGCACAGCTAGCAAAGCAAATAAAAATGATGACGACAATAGAATAATAAATACATTGTGTATCTTTATTGTTGGATTGATTTAGATAAGTGTAATAGAAAAAATATCTATGTTCTATAATATTTTATTGCAAATTATGTCATTACATTTTGGAAAATTTCTAGCGATACAAGACAACGATTCTCTTTGCAATTTGCCTTCGGAATTTCATAAAGGAACGGGCGTTTGCAAACAGACGCAGTTGAAACTGCTTGAAGTATACTTGATTGAATCTGCTTAAGTAGTACTTGCTTGAAGTAGATTAAGGTGACGATTATCGTAATAATGTGTTTATAATTGAATTCGTACTTATATTACTATTTCATAAGTACTCGACAAATATTTTATTAGGTAACCTATGATCCATGTTCAGTTGTGAACTTTGATAGGTATTTGGGATAATGACAATGATGTTTAACTAACTGTTCAGTTATTTCATTAACCGCCTGTTTAGTATGGTAGAATGAGGTTGAGTTTGGACAATATTTTCTAAAGTTGTGTTGGCTATACATTTGGAATATAGAAGTAGTAAGTACACTTTTTTATAATTTCTGTCTGCCTGTGTTTATCTTGTATGTTGTTTTTTGTTTGTGTCTATAAATCAACTCAAGTTTTATTTCAATTGACTAAGCAGATCGAAAATTACATATGGTCTGAGTTTTTCATATTACATATACCCGAATGGCTCGGCTCGACCGGGGAAGGACCACGCTCTCACAGAATACCAGCGTGAAATAGCAGATTGATGTTGTTGTGTTTCGTATGGTAGATATAGAGAATCGGAGACCCTTTTTACTGGAAACGAGGCATTATTAGTCTCAGGAGTGGCAACGCATCTACATTTTAATTCTCAATCGAGGATAGATGTAGATGTCTATGGGCCACAGCATCCACTTACCATCAGGTGGATTGTGTGCTAGTTTGTCACGCTTACTTATTCTATAAAAAAATATGTCATGTTAATGTTGCGTTATCGCAAGCGTAGTCGCAATTTCTAAATCTAATAATTTAGCTATAAAAAGGTGAAAATAATATATATCATTACATATGATCCTGCAAAGTGACGAAATAGAAAGAAAGAAACACTTTATTTTAGCATAAGTCTTTGATCGCTGGTCACAGCTCTCTCCCATTCCAGGTAAGATTTGCCCTAATCTTTACGCTTGGCAGGCGGAGTGACGATCACAGTACCAGATCTCTCGAAACTTCGACGCTGCTGCCCGTCACCGGTTTGGTTATAGCGCCATCTATTGGAACCAAATATAATAAGACTTTTCTGGCATTATTTATAGTCACCCTTTACGACAGCCACGCGACAAAAAAGAGCGATGGATTCTCTCACGGCACACAATATTTAAAATTCATACTGAGTCATTGTAACCAATCCAAAATTTATGTAACGCTTTGCGACAAGATCGGAGATTGGCTAAGTTGCAGCGTAAGTAACTTCAGAACAATCACAGTAACATTATACGTGGCAGAGTCAAACTGCAGTTATATTACGGTTGCAGCACGATTGGGTCGGCTCGACCGGGTTAGAACCATGCTTTCACAGTATACCAGCGTTAAATAGTAGCTTAATGCTGCTGTATTTGGTGTGGTTGAGTGTAGAGGACCGGAGATCCTTTTTATTGAAAACGACTCATTCCATCCTAGTCCTCAGGGGTGACAAGGCATCTGCATTTTGATTCTTAATCGAGGATAAATATAGATGTTTATGGGCCAAAGTATCTACTTATCATCAAGTAGAATGTGTGCTTGTTTGTCAACATCAATGTAATTTATATTAAAAACAAAGTACAGACCCGAAACCCAACTATACAAGTTTTTGCATAAATTTTGACATTGGTTTCAATCGGTATCCATCGATAATATATAACCTTTAAAATACGACGTAATGTTATTAACAGATATATATTATATATAGTAACTTACATAGCCTTCGAAAGTTCCAGATCCACTTAAAGTTATTCGCAATGCATGCCATCCGATTTCGAAAGCGGGATTCATTGGAGTAATGGCAGTATTACCCACGGACGCGATGTCACCATTTGATTCCACTTCATTGACCACAAATGATATTTGATCGGTCTGTGATGCTGGATCCATATATAAATTCACTTCAAAAATTCCACGAGCAGACATTGGAAATGTGAAAGATGAAACACAGCTGAGAAGACTGTTTGGTGAAATGAACGTTGTACTTAGGTTATGTGGACTATCAATCGGGATTGAAGAGTAGTTTCCAATATCCCACATCTCCATTGTATTGCATATTCCTTTTTCATTAGAAAACAAACTCTCAAAATCTTCTTCGAAACTGTACGTAACACAGTCTTCGCCAAAAACCACCGGACAAAGAAGAAAAATCAAAATAAAACTATTGTGATCCATTATTTTAACAAATACTTGTATTCCATGTGACGCTTCCTATTTGCAATCAGTAATACTAAATTTTGTCAATATCGTTACCGTTATATCTATAAATACTATTTAAATATCATTAGGGATAAGATAAATACCAAGAATCTGGATATATTGATAATCAAATCCACTCTGCTAATGCTTTAATTGGCTAAGTATTATTTTATTACTATCATATACGTATTGTTTTCCAGAAAAAAAGATTTAGACGATAAATATTAGCATCAAAGGTCTCTTTTAACTTATCTACATTATTGCATTATCAATAAATTTTGCATTATGTCTTCAAGCCTTTTGTTTTAATACCCTAATCAGACAATACATTACTAATAATAGAACATTAAGCGATTTGTGACTAGGTATCCATCAATCCAATAAACTATCTGTGATAATAAGAAATAACTATTACATACGAAGTAAAAAATGGTAATATTAATGGGTTTAAAAGAAAAAAATTAATGAAATACGGTAAAGTATTAAATAGGTCGCTACAGCAAACGCTTGGTAGCTCAGACTACCACAAAACTCGGTCTTGAGGTACCTGCTTCTTAACATTTTGTCACTCTATTTAGTTGGGGGCCGCCCTATACTTCGCTTAAGCCGACCGATTAAGTTGAGCTATGTCGGTGATTCTGGTTCTACTGTGGGTAACTTCATTACCAAACTTATCACGATGGGAAACGCCGAACATAGCCTTCTACAGAGCTCGTCTTATTCGACAAGCAGTAAAGGACCACGTCTCAGATCCATGTTTCATCACTGGCAACACGTACTTGTTGAAAATTCTTATTTTTAGGTTTTATTTTTATTTATTTATTTACTCTTTATTGTACACCAAAAAACAAAACATCGAGTACAGTTAAATCTAAAGTAGTGATCTAAATCGAAAGATCTAAAGTGATTTCTTCCGTAGAAACCTGATAGAAATAATAGTTAAGAGGGAGGCATACAAAATAAAAATAAAAATATGAAAATACATACAAATAAAGATAAGTGAAAATTATATATAAAATATCATATAATAGATTAAATGAAAAGAATACGAAAAAAGAAAAGTAATTTATCAAATAGCGTTATAAGTAATGCGATTTAACAAGACTTTCGACAGACTGAAAAGATTTAGCACGACGAATGTGGAGAGGTAAGAAGTTCCACAATCGCACAGCAGTTACGGTAAAGGATTTCTTAATAAAAGAGGAAGAGTGCAAAGGTGTAGATAGAGAAAGATTGAGAGGATCGAAGGAACCGATTATGGGTAAGGGAAAGATACTGGAAACGGTCTTTTAAATAATGTGGAGTGGAAGGATTAAGCAACAGCACGCTATACAATGCGGATGAGGATTTCAATTACCTATACGTAATGAGAAAATGTGAGGTAACCTCCAGAACGTTGCAGACTGATTTGGGTACGTCGCTTGCTCTCTCCGTCGAGGTTGAACTGCCTTACATCACTCTTTAGTTGGATATATTTCGTACTTTGGTTTTGTACTTATATAACCATCGTAGCCTTACTGTACAAGCACCTAAACATTTCTATATAACGATGCCACTGCCGGCACCGCCTTAATTTCGATGGAATTAGAGAATTTTACATAATTGATAGATGTTTCTTTGAAATTATATCAACGTGTTGTAAAACTGCGAGCATATTAAATACAATTCTAATACAAAAGGAAATCCGATAAGAATAATGACCAGACAGAATTTCAGTTACAGCGGTTAGTCTCAAACCAGACTTTCTATCTGCTCTGGACAGGATTATAGTCCACGAGCGTATGCGCAAACACAGGGGCACTCTCTATTTGATGGCAATTCAACACAACTGGAAAGAGATCAGGGAAAAAACAAACCGCCTTACGTGCTTTACGAAGCACGGTGGTGAAACATCGCCAACTTTCTGAGTCGGGGCTTGTTTCTGAGAATTTCTAGACAGATTCAACAACTGATTTTGGTCTTAGCTGAGAATCGAACCCTGATGATTAATAGTTGCATTTACCAATACTAGATCAACGATAAGAATAACAAGTAATAGTATTGAGAGTCAGCGATAAGAATAACAAGTAACGGGAAAGGAGTGAAAAATTAAAAAACCGACTTCAAAGAACTAAAAATGCCTAATGAAATAATGTCCAGCTTTTGTTGTCAGGGATAAGACAAAGTGCATAGAAGAATTCATAATTGGTATAAATTATGCGTAAAACAATAAAGTCGAATTAAGAATCTTCTCCTTCTTGATCTCGGCAAAATGGAATCAAATTAATGGAGCTGAGTGGAATATAACAGAACAGTAGAAAAATAAAAAGAGTAGATAAGAATAGATCAGACCAGGTCAGAAAATCATAGAATATTCTTTTATTTCATATTTTACGGCATGATATATATTATTTAAAGCAATATATGTATTATTTTAAGCTGTATAGCTTTTAAAGCGTTACAATATATTACAATAGCAAAAGAAGCAAAATAAAGTAGATATAAGCACAAGGCCTTTCTTTTAAATAACACGAAAAGAAGAGTTAAATTACCACTATAACATTTTTACGGACTTGTTGATTTCAAAAAAAATATATAAAAAACAACTGCTTACCTTTGCAAGCTAACCATGATTTTTCAACAAAGGTTTCAGCTAGAAGCGTTTTTCGTATAATTTTAAAATTTATTTGTCTTTTGTTGGCCATATGTAATTTCATTAACTAAGTAGTTTGAACAGTTTGAATTGACGATGTTTGCTGGTTTTTACTTAAGCAGTATGTGTACTTTGCTTGAAATAAACTTTGTTTAAAATCAATTAAAAATGTAACAAAAGTGGTGTGTTGAAACATGAATATGCACTGACAAAAAAGTTAAAAATTATCTCTTATTTTATCTTGATCAAGATTGATTTTCGATACGATATATTAAATAGATAATCAGTTAGTGAACAAATTAATAAATTGGGATTGTTACGAAATTGGTAAGTAGCGATGTAATGGTACAAATTCGTCCATTTTCAGATCGTAACATAGAAAGATTTGTCGTTATGGCAATTTGCATATAATTTTTATATTACTATTGAACATAGAACATAAAACTATGATGTAGCTATATTATGGTTATAAAAAATTGGAACAGTTCGTGGAGGGACTACAATACAATACAATAGAATACCATTAATTGAACACCAAGAAAACAAATAACATAACAAGAAATAAACAGAGAGAAAAACAAAAAGCGGTCTTATTGTTATACAGAAATTTCTTCCAGACAACCTAAATAGCAAATAAAAAGAAGTGATAAGTTAATTAATGGGTAGAGTGCACTGAAAATAATATTATAATCTAAAATATAAATTAATAAACATGCTGAAATTTACTTAATTGACTGTCTAGTTATTCATAAAGTGACAAAAAGAGGTGAGGAGGGGGGGAGAATTTAAAAGAAAAGATAATGCCGTCAAAAACATAGTTTGTAAAAAAAACCAGGTCTCGCAACTCAGTTCTTCTATCGTAAAAAGTTGTGAGATCCATGTAATACTAAGTCGGTTAATTTATTCAGTACCTACTTAAGGGTCCTTCTGTTTTAAGTTATTACGTAATTAGCTTTATATAAATAGTTTTATATAAATAGATTGACTTGGGCCATCGCATGTAACACAATGTATCTCACAAGTAATATATATTGTTACGTGCTTGAGGTTCGTGACAGTTAAAACTGCCGATTGAATTACCAAATTTACACTTTTATTACTGAACACCAATTATTACTGACACTAATAATTAACCACACTGATTCACTTTATTTCGCTCCGAAGCTTTGCTTGTCTCGCCAAATTCAATACTGCGGCTTTAAATACACTTTTTACACCGAGACATCCAGAATATTCCGGTAGATACGGGCGCCGACCGACCAGACGTAGAAAGTTCGAGTGTGGGGCTTCTAGAAAGCTTAATTCTCCTGTTCGATACTGGATGGCGGTGTTGGTCGAAAGTCAAGATTGACATTTTCTAGGAAGCCCTCCTCGATCTGGTCCCCGACACTAGATGGCACTAGTGCCAGGTATCTGACGTCAACTTTGGCGCGCAACAATATTATATTAAATTCGATTGCTTAGTGGGATTGCCAAGTCAATCTATTTATTTAAAACATAAAATATTTTTAATATTGATATGGTCACAATAAGATTTTGTTATGTTAGCTAATTACGTAATAACTTAAGACAGAAGGACCCTTAAGACACGACTGAATAAATTAACCGATCTCACAATTTTATACGATAGAAGAACTGAGTTGCGAGACTTGTTTTTTTTACATGTTATGTTTTGATGGCATCTCATTTCTTTTTGCAGATAGTCCTACTTTTTTTCCTTCTGGTATCTTCTACTTCTTGACCAACAAAGTACCTATCTACACCGTTTATTCCACTATATTACATATAAATACAGGTACACTGATTCATTCACTGAAAATGTAATTTTGTAATCCTTTATATTTATACGGAATTACAAAGTTATTTATGCAGTTAGTGTATCTAGAAAACTGGACTGAAATTAAAAAATATTTTAGTTTTTCCTTGATTTATACACTAAACACTAATTGTGTTCTAAGTTTGAAGCTTCTATATCCTCTAGACGTGCCTTAGAGTTTTGATGATCGGTCAGTCAGTGAGTGACAATATTAAGAAACTTTGACTAATTATAATTTCTAAACTATTGGTTAAAATTGAATGAAATTTGAAATATACCGTGCCTGCTGGATTTCTGAAATTTCAAGTTTCTAGTTTTATCCACAACGAAGTTATAGGGGGTCGAAAATGGCCTGAATTGCTACGAGTAAAAGTATGGTACGGCCGTGCCGCTTTTTTG